ATTTCAACAATTGCCTCCTGGTCTGAGCCAGCCTCGGTGCAACCTGCAGAGAGTCCCCGTGATGTCACAGTTTCTGACACGCTGAGCCATCCTCACAGAAAATTCCCTCAGGTCTCAGGAAAATGCCCTGTCTAGGCCCAGAAGGTTGGAGAAGCAGCCAACTCTACGTTCACCACCACTATCTTCCCTCCCCACCTCTTTGCCTAAGAACCAGCTAAGTGCTTGTTGAAAATGCCCCTTCTGGGACAAACTTGTAACCGGTAGATAAATAAGTCCTAGAGATCTAATGTGGAGCCTGGTGACTATAGATGACGATGCTGTGTTATAAACTTCAAAGTTGCTAAGAGACTAGATCTTAATTGTTCCATCAACGGGGCGTAATGGAGGTGTTAACTAACACTACGGTGGTAATCATATTGCAGTATGTAAATGTAGCAAATCAACATGATGTACACCTTAAACTTATACAATGTTATATGCCAGTAATATTTCAATGATTTTTTTTTTAATTTTAAATGCCACTTTCTAGGTCCTGCCCTCTAAAACTTTTGGCCCATTATATCTGGGATGGGCAGTGGTGCTTAGAACACTCTAGAAGCAGTGATCCAGGAACACCCATTCCTATTGACGGACCATCCCCGCATCCCCATGGCACCCAGCCCCAGAGCCACCTCTGGGTAGGGGGAGTGTGCTGAGGGAGCCCTTTATCAGGTAGAGGGCCCCTTTAAAGGGCACAGAACCCACAGCCCCAAGGGCTTCTGGTGGCCATGGCAGGGTGGTTAACAATACAGATCTCAGAGCCCAACTGCTGAGCTCGTCCCCTTCCATACAGTGCTCACTGGCTGTGTGACCTTGGACAACTCATGGAGCCTCTCTGGGCCTGAGTGTCCTCATCTGTAAAATGGGCATATTAGTAATAGTCCTTGCATCTCAGGTTTGTTATGAGGGGGAGGCATGTAGTGTATCCTGTGTAAGGGTTTGCCAATTTTCTCACCACACATTTTTTTTTAAAGATTTTATTTATTTATTTGAGAGAGAGAATGAGAAAGAGAGAGCACGAGAGGGGGGAGGGTCAGAGGGAGAAACAGACTCCCCGCCGAGCAGGGAGCCCGATGCGGGACTCGATCCCGGGACTCCAGGATCATGACCTGAGCCGAAGGCAGTCGCTTAACCAACTGAGCCACCCAGGCGCCCCTCACCACACATTTTTAAGCACGCTGGAGGCTTTTAAGATAAGGTTGTTGGCCCAAACCACTTACCCCTTTGAGCTTCAGTGTTCTTATCTTTGAAATGGGAGCAATGATGTAGTAGTCATAGTAGCAGTAGGAGGAGTAATTATAGTAGCTTCCCTGCCCACTGCCCAGGATTATTGTAAAAATAACATGTGATAATGATGAGAAAGTGCAAAGTGCTTTGTAAACTATAACTCACCATGTAGACAAGAGGTTTGTCAACTGATGTTTGGTGTTGTTAGTAATTTGAGGCAGGACTCAGAGTCTAAAGACCGGATTCCCGCTTTTGCTCTGCCTTCTACACTGAGTGATGGCGGACAGAGCCCGTTACCTCTCCCAGCCTCAGGTTCCTCTCCCGTCAAACGGAGCCTCTTAGCAGAGGCATGACATGTGTCAGGTGATGCTGTGCCAGTTAGTGCTCCCCCTCCTTCGCTTCACACTGGAATGTGCGGGAGGGCCTTTTAAAAATGCCTGCCTTCAGGTGGGTCCAACCCTCAACCAATGAAGCAGAATCTCTAGTGAGAAGGCACAGGAATGGGTACTTTTAAGAAGTCGCCTATTTTGTCCTAATGCGAATCCTGGATTGAAAACCACTGATTTCTGGGGCGCCGGGGTGGCTCAGTCGGTTAAGCCTCCGACCCTTGGTTTCCACTCAGGTCATGATCTCTCAGGGTCGTGGGATCGAGCCCCGCATCGGGCTCCGCGCTCAGTGGAGAGTCGGCATGAGGATTCTCTCTCCCTCCCCCTCCCATTCTGTCTCTCTCTGAAATAAGTAAATAAAATATTTTAAAAGGAAACTCACTGATTTCTGTGGAGCAGCGATGTAAAACACAATTTACAACGTAGGGTGTTTTTAAAAATGTTTTTAGCTGATTGATGATCTCAGGAGAAACTACTCTGGAAATCAGGCCCGCGTCTGTTTGGCGCCTTCTGCCCGAAGCGTGCCCTTGCCGGGGAGGATTGCGCCCCCCCCCCCCCCCCCCCCGCGTGCTCTGGCCTTCCAGCCAGGCGGGCCGTGTGAGACCCAGCCTCGCTCAAGTCCGAGATGCCGCTGGGGTGCCGCTGGGGTGCCGCTGGGGTGCCGTGGGAGGGGAGTTTGGCGTGCGCGACGCCTCCAGCCACCCGGACACCTTCGGCGCTCCGCGTTATTAGAAGTGAGTCCGGTGCAGAGGTGCGTGCGCGGCAGGGTGGCAGCTTACCCCGCTTGGGTCAGGAGCCGGGAGATCTTTCTGCTGAAGTGCCCTGTGCGTGCGGGACCAATGCAGGGTGGGCTCCGATTTGGACAAACGCTGCCCTCTGGCTCCCTCTGGCTCCCAGGGCTCGGCGCGCCCACCCGGCGGCCTCCCAGCAGCGTCTCCACCACGTGCCCCCTCAGTGGCCCCCCTGGGGGTCCCGGAAGAGGGGGCCGGGAGGCTGTCTGAAGTCAGAGGTGGGCGGTTTCTATCAGCCCCTGCATTGTTTCTAGTAACTCTCACACAGCCGTGGTGTTCTGACGGCGCCGCCGGGCTCTCGTGGGAGGGTCATTTATAGAAGTCGTTCCCTTGTGGAAAGTGCCAGACGTTTCCCACCAAAGGATGTAGGGAATAAGATGGACAAGTGTTTGAGAAGCAATAAAACGTCCACTTGATCATTGCAGTGATAAAAATAATAATAACGGATGGTCACATGAGCAAGGATCCCGCGGTGGAGGTTCCCTGGCAAATGTGTAAATATGCCGGTGGCGCTCCGGCCACAGAAACAGGTCTTCCCTGCAGCCGCCCCCCTTCCCGCAGGGTTCCCCCGAGCACCGCATCCCCAGCTTTCTGTGCCTGCGTCAAGGAGCAGCTACCCCGTTCTCCCTAAAACCTCTTCCCTCCCTTCTGTCAAAGACAGAAAACTAAGCCAGCTCCGTCTAGGGTTAGGTAACACAGGAACACAGGACCAGTTCTCTTGTATGCAGAGTTTCATCCCATATCTTACTAGGTTCTTGTTGGGCTTTTTCACCTTTACGGCTTCAGGGATTCACTTGGTCACGCTACAGGCAGTCACTGACCATTGACTTTGGTCAAAGTTTATATAATGCTCTTAATCTTGAGCCTTAATCTCAGCCCTCTGCAGCTCTCCCCACCCTGAGCAGATTATGGCTTGTTTTCCAGACTGAAAGTTGGCATTCTAAATTGGAAAGACAAGCCAGACTCTTGGAAATCAAACGGTACCTATGGGGTTCTCTCCCTGTTATTTTAGCCTCAGGCCATCTAACCAGGGTGGAATCGCAGGTAAGGAGACCCGGTGGCCAGACAACCCCAACCAGGCAGACCCCAAAGGAAGCACCTATTACAGTTCCTAACGCTTAAAACCAGGGATGAATACATGTAAAATTTGTTTGCAAGAAATAAGACTTTTTACATTTTTAGGACAAGAGAGACATTTGAAATTTGATTATACCCATTATGAGCCTTTAGCAACTTGATTTAAATTGAATGACCCAAGGGGTTGGATGGGGTAGGTAGTTTAGAGTGTGCAACCTGGGGAGGGGGAGGCATTTGGAAGGATTCCTGGAAGAACAACTAGAAGGTCCCCAGAGAACAACATACTGGCTTCCTCACAGGAGCCGTTACTAAACCAGGAGACCCAGTAGAAGAGAGTGCTTGATGGTGCCTAGATGCCCCAAATCTCTGTTGCCACTAAGATTTCTATTTCCAAGTATGTCTCAGAGGGAGTGATGGCAGGTAGAGAAAGGCTTCTAGAAGTTGTCCATGAGGCGGTGTCCAGCGGGCACGTGGGGAACCAGCTGTGGCTAGGAGGGACGGGCGAAAGCTGGTCTCTTCAGGGCTCATCAAACAACACCCAGTCATTCCAAACGTCTCAAATGGGCCTCTGGATGTTCTTCCCTTGATCTGTATAAATCGTAAGATTTAAAAGAAAATATATGCCATGTGTTTCCAAGATTTTACAGTTAGTTCATCAAGTCTGTTGTTTTCTGAGAGTTTTTTTGGAGTCCCAACAAGACTAATGAGCCTTTTTCAAATGTCGTTAAAAAATGTTTTCTTCTCAGAAGGACATTTAGAGGCTTTGAAATTTGTTCCAAGGGTAAAAATAATAGTATTAATAATAGATTGCTCAAAACTCTCAACACGTGCAGGTTCAAAATTTATTTAATACTCCCAAACCAACAGACATGAATTATTACTGGGGTTTGTCATGCTTGAGAGAGGAGAAAGAAAGCACAGGGAGGTTCAGCAGAGTTCACTGTGTGGTTCACAGTTATGCCCATAGCCCAGCAAACTTCTTGCTCAGCCTACACTTTCAGAGAAAGCCCCCCACCTAATTCGGCATCCATGAGGCCAGGTTGATTTTGTACTGAGGCGACTTACTGAGCGGCTGACTTTTCAGCCTGCTTTATTTTTGGCTGGTCGATCAAAGCCCTCCCAGGATGGTTCTCTTGTAGGGCATGCAATCTGTGTCACGTAAAATGGGTGATATATGGTTAAGTGACCACAGGGTGGAAAGAGGACACTTTTTCTTGGGGGCTCTGCGCACAAGAGCGGCGGCCCCGCGGCTGCCCGTGAACATTGTCATGTGGTGACCTCTGGTGGTAGAATTTTTCCTAGCATGTGTGCATGGATGCTTCTGAGCCAAGCCATCCAACCATGTTACATTTTCCTACATTCCTTTCCTCCTGTTTTGTCATTCACATTAAGCAAGGAGCAAGGATCAGTTGCAAACACCCAGAATAAAGTGGGGCGTGTGCCTGGCCAGAGTGTTACTTTACAAAAGTTGCCCGGTGCCTTCTCTTTCAGTGAACGTCTGATACATTTCCTGTAGAAAGAGAAAGGAGCCAAAATGAAGGAAAGTGTGGCATCCACAGCTGTTTTCATTTTGCTACTTTTTCTCAACACCAGTCTCCTGAATGGTAAGTAAGGGGCTGTCCTGCTCTCTTTAATTCCCTGGGGTGTTTCTCGAGAGGGTGGAGAGTCCATCTCATCCTGCAGTTACAAGAGATGAAAATGTCATTGGCTGCTACTAAATTATCTGCAACATTTTTGGCATTAAAATCAATGCAGAAATTAATGCAAAAGAATGAATGCAGTGAATGCAAAAGCGTGTCCCTGTGCTCTGCCTTCTGTCCTCACCCCGGGACTATAGCGAAGCATCTCGTATGAACGACAAGACCAGAGTCTCAGTCCAGCTGCTGTCAGCTGCTACTAGCTATGTGACCTTGAGCCAATCACCTAATCTCTCTGGGTTTCCACATTTTCAAAGTGAGGACTATGATGTTCCCTCCACCTGCGATGAAATAGTGTACGTGGAAAATCTTTGAAAAACAGTAAAGAGATAAAAGGGATTGCTGTTATATGGTGGGAAACATGTAGCTAACTCTATTATCTGGGCTAATGGGAGAAATGAAGTTCACAGCTAGAGTGTGCATGCTGGCGTATGTACATTTCTGTGCGCCCAGCTCTGTGCATCTTTGAGTGTGGATACTTTTGAATATACTTCTGTGTGTATTAACTTCTCTATGTGTATCTGATTGCAAATGCTTCTCTGTGTATACCAGTGTGTGTGCCTCCATGTATGTGTATATTTCCATGTATGTTCCCAAGTGTCCTTCGGAGTATGCAGCTGCAAAGGTGTCGGGGCGGGGGGGCTGTGCATGTGTGTGTTTGTGAGGTGGGCTCTAATGTGGACGTAAGTGTGTACGGTACCTAGGTGGTTGTCCCTCTGTGTGCATTTTATAAAGATAGTGAGACAGTCCATTGATTTTCACTGTCTCTGCTAAAGTGAGTGAAAGGAACATTTGACTAGTTGTAATTTCACAACTGTGCTCTCCTCTCCTGAATTTCCTAGAGGTACCATGAATAACCAGTGAAATGTGAAAAAGATAAGCTTCCAGAGAGAGAAAAAAGAGAGCAGAGATCAGCATAATCCATAGAGAAACTTTTAAGTACTCAAAGAATCAACAGTTGCCTTAATTGGCTTCTGAGGATGCTCATTATTGAGCCATAGGGTTTGGGTTTGGTCTTTTTTTTTTTTAATTTTCTTTCTGTCCCACATGCTCGTCCCCAGCCACAACAAAACACAACAAACAAATCACTTCAACCTGTGACATTATCCTAAAGAAATTTTCCCTGGAGCATAAACAATGTTACAAATTTTGGCAGACCTAACCCCAGGCTGGCTGGCATGGAGTTTTAAGGTTTCCTATAATTCTTTGATGGTTTTCAGGGTGGCTGGGAGCTAGAGGGTAGCTTAGCCCACACTGACACGATCAGCCTGCTGTCCTCAGCCCCAGCCTGTGCACTGCATCATATCATTCCATGACCTCCTGGCCAGTTTTGCCTGGTGTCCCCTCTTCCCATGCATGTTCTCCTCCAAACTTACTCTTTCTGATCTGGTGCTCAGAGAGAAGTTCTGGCCAGGAACCAGTGGGAAGGGGTGGGGGGAGACAAGTGTAAGAGAAAACAGAGAGAACACCCCTGAATTGCTGAGACTGACACCTTTCAAAAACTCTCCTCTCTGCTGCTGATTTTCTGAACTAAACAGTCAGTCATCCAACTCGGCCAAAAGGAAGATCACCTGGGGTTAGTTATGTGGATGGGCAAAATGGGGGTCCTGCCTAGCAGCACAAGGCAAATGCCCAGGGCCACCCTTTTCCTCTTTGGATCTGACAGACAAGGAAGAGGAGAGGGGGCCAGGTCATCAAGATTTTTGGGGATTCAGCAACTGAAAAACCCCATCCTTTTGACATCGTACTTTCCCCATCACCTTATTCAGACCTTCTAGCTTCCAGCTGGGTTGAGATATGGCTCTTGGATAATAATGGTAGCTGGTAACCAGAACAGCTAGCCACTCCCCCACCTTTTACCATGCCTCCCCCCACCAGAAAGAGCCAGAGAACTACAAGGAAGCCCTTTGCCAACTCACCACAAAAGAACCCAAGGGGAAAGAGGGAAATATAAGACAAAAAGGACTAAAAAACAAGAATCGGAAATGGGGGCAGGAGAATGAGGAGATAGACGGTGAGGCTGGGTCAGAGGTCCAAGCCAAATGGAATCAAGGAAAAGTGAAGGGAAACAGGAAGGAAAGGAGAAGATAGGGGAGGGGAGGGGAGCAGCCAAAGGAGCGTCAATGATGCAGAGAAAAAAAAAAAACAGAAGGTCCCAGATGGAGTTAATTGTGTGGGAATGGCAGAAAAATGGAGAGTCATGAGCAGATGGAGAAGTGCCAGAGAGCACTGTGTCAGCAAAGTGTCCCAGGATGCTTGTGCCTGGGGCAGAATTCTTTTCATGGTCACCCTTCTGCTATGGGAGGATGTCAGCTGCATAGACTCTGGGATTGCGGAAGGGCCACATACTCTTCAGTCCACATGCATCCAGCTCACCCTTCATGTTCACTCTGTTGGAATTTTACAGTTAGTGACCCATCCTAGTTAGTGGCCATCTCTACCTCACAGGACACACACACACACAGCTCTCTCTCTCTCAGTCCTGCCAACATTGGGACAGCCCACAGAGGAATGTTGCTGGCATTTCTGAGCACCCCACCCTTAGGCCCCCTCACACCTCATCACTGACCTTGTCCCATCAGTCTGCTTCTGTCACCAGCAGGAGGGTCCAATGGTTGAACGCACCTTGTTCCTAAGTGACTTCTGGCTTTTTCTAGGACAATCACCTCCTGGAAAACCTGAGATCTTTAAATGTCGTTCTCCTGAAAAGGAAACATTCACCTGCTGGTGGAAACCTGGGGAAGACGGAGGACTTCCTACTAATTACACGCTGATGTACCACAAGGAAGGGTAAAAAGTTCTCTTCTCTCCTATCAACTGCCACGTGACTGCTCTCAATCTCCCGGCCTAAAGTTAGAGTTACCGCACTCCCCTGGATTGGCATGAGTAAGGCTCCTACCACCGGGGAAAAGAACTTCACTGCCCATGCCTACACTCTCCTGTTAATGTCCTTGACGAGCTCTCTCCATGTATATAAGGTCATCCGCTACCCCAGCAATATAGTACAGCATTATTCCCAGTGTCTGTCCCAAGGTTAGGTTGTATCCCAAGGTCACATATGGATCTTTCCTAAATGCTAGTTACTTTTAGATGTAAACCTTGTGCCATTTGTTACTTTTGCAATCTCAGAGGATTATCATGTAATCCTTTGGACCAAGAAAGAGCCCTATAAGCCAAGAGAGGTAAGGATTTTTTCCTTAGCATTTGCTGATCCAGGATCTCTGATCTTCCAGAGGGCATATTTGGAGCTAAGGTTGCAGTGAGGGCTAAACAAGGTCATCTCTGGGTGAGGATCTTGTTTTGCTCACAATGAAACCATCCTGGAAAGCCCAGGAGGGCTGTATCCTTCCTCAGTGAAAAAAGCATTTACCGGTTGCAACAGCTGACCCACATCCCAAAGACGGCACTTTGTTGTACACAACGCTGTCATCCCTTCTGGGACCTGGAGGAGTATCATGTAAATAGAGTTCAGGAACTCAAACTGACAACCAAAATGAAATAAGCCTTCACACCTTGTGCTGTGTCTTGCGTTGAGGCCCTGACGTCTACATGTGAGCAGCCTAATGAGGCCACCTGGTCCTGAAATAGCTCCTTTCTTAGTCATGTTACTCTGTTGCTGACTTAGGGCAATCTGGAATATACTGATGGCAATGCTTACCCTCTTTCATCTTTTTTTAATGAAATGTAATTCAACACATATGCACAATAAATGGTACGTCGTGCATGGCCCCCGGGATGTATGTACCAGGGAGAGTCACATTTCCTGAGATGACCAGCAGCAGTTCCCTGGATAGGGCGGCGCCTTGGCCATCGAGAGCTCAAGCATTTATTGGCAGGGGGCATATATCCCAAAGCCCACAAAAACCTATCGAAGGGAGGTGTTGATGAGCAGCAGAGTCACTGAGGACCTCACGTAACCCTTCCACCATCTCTGGCACCCTCTTTCTTGTCTCACCCCCGGCTGACATGGGCAGGACACAGAAGTTTGGGGAGTTGTTCCTCACTCTGGTTCTTGCATCCCAAATGTCTGATCCCCAAAAGCCAGTGTTACTAATCTACTCGGGAGATTAAACTCTGTTTACTACTTTCTTATTCATTGCTAATATATTACTCATTGCAGAGAGACAATCACACACGAATGTCCAGACTACATAACCAGTGGCCCCAATTCCTGTTACTTCAACAAGAAGCACACCTCCATATGGACAATGTACATCATCACAATAAATGCCACAAACCAGATGGGAAGCAGTTCCTCAGATCCACGTTATGTGGACGTGACTTACATAGGTAAGGGGAAGGGTGACAGGTAAGGAATGTGTTATTCAGTTATTGATTTACCAATAGTCAAACTCAATTTGAGTCTTCTTGGCTTTTGGTTGCATCCCCAAAATGAAAGATCAGAAATTTTACAATATCCTTCTCAACTGAGTTTCTCAAACCAATTTTTATCAAGTCATTCATGGCAATAGGACTGGCACGTGGGATCCTTATGCTTCTGTGCTTTCCCTTAACCCTTCTTCTCATCCTCTTGCATCCAGAAGGAATGTTCTGCTTATGCATCCCTTATCACTCCTTCCCTCCAGCCCTCCTCCTGCAACCGATGTCCCCTTCTCCCTTACTTTCTCTCTCCCGATGGAACACAGAGCTGCTCCATGGAGTAGCAGCTCCTAGAAGGTGTTCATCTGCTTCTGCACCCACAGAGATTGCGCCAAACCGATTTCCCCCAAATTCAATTCTCAATATACCTGTGCTTCTTAGCAACTGGAGCTATTATTTTAAAAATAAATAATTTGAGGAGTAAATACTACTACTTGAACAACAGGCTGAAGGCCAAGATCACAAGTACAACGTTTGGAGAAGTCATTAGCAAAGTAAAACAAAGTCAACCCAAACGCTGCTTCTGGCTTTGCATGATCAACAGTGAGCTGCAGGGCAATCAGGCATCACTGTAGTGGCCTGGACGGTGTGGCAGGGGTGACAAAGGGAATCTTAGGACAAGAGATGGCTTGGCCAGGCTGGGGTTCAGCCTTCATCTTGGGTAATAATCTAGGGAATAGCTAATTAGGTTCATGTTTACCCAAGTCTTCTGGATTTACCGAACACCACTCAGCAAGGAAAATCAGATTAGGATTCTGAAGTGTTCACTTGCATATCATCCCAATGGCATGTTATCAGTGGTTTATCCTTAAAAACTAGAAAAGCTTCCAACACCAACCAGTACACACTTAAATAATTTCTCTTGCAGCAAATCACTGGAATGAGCCTGGGGGTGGAAACTGAATGTGATCTTAGTTTAAGAAACTCAGAAAGGCAACCCCAGTGGCAAGTAGGAATAAAATAAATTCTAGTCATATAAATTACTTGAGATACAAAGTCTTGAAGATGCTAAATGCCAAATAATTCCTTTGTCGTGGGCTCTCTCTTACAGATTTAACATATGAGGGCAAAACAGCAAAAGCAAAAGAAGTTCTGAAATGAGCCATTGCTACAATGAATGTAGTCACAAAAAACGGAATCACTAGAGAGTAGTGCATTTAAAAAGTGAAATCGATGAGGGCATCAATTTCACATGAGCTGTGGAAAACAAATTCTCTGGTGAAAAATTGTTGGGCTGTATTTTCCAAAATAATGGAAGAAGGGTTTATGGAACTCTCATATCACCCTACATCATACAGTGTTGATGACAGGAATTCTATGCTGATGCCATAGAATTCATCTAAAAATCAGTGTGGGTGCCTGGGTGGATCAGTCAGTTTATGCCCAACTCTTGATTTCAGCTCAGGTCATGATCTCAGGGTTGTGAGATGGAGCCCCATGTCGGGCTCTGAGCTGGGTGTGGAGCCTGCTTGGGACTCTCTTCAAAAAAAAAAAAAAAATTTTTTTTTTAATCAGTATTAACCACAGTACATTTTCTATCAGCCTGAGTCTCATCCAGTGATAACCCGCAGTTCAGAATGACAATATTGACAGATAATCTCTCAGAAATAGATTTTGTTCTTGTTCTTGTTCCTACTGCCCTTGAATTACATTTAGCAATGTTGAAGATGCTTGAAAGCAGTGATTCTCAACTCGGGGCTATGTTGCCTCCCCCAGGATATTTAGCAATGACGGGAAACATCTCTGATTATCGCAACCGCGGGAAGAGCTCTCAGGATATTATGGACATTTAATGGGTAGAGGCCACAAATGCTGCTAAGCAGCCTACAGTGCTCAGGACGGCACCCCACGCACCCACCCTAACCCACCAATGAAGAAGAGTCTGGTCCAAGATACATAATGCTGAGGTTGAGAAACTGTGCTTTCAAGGATTCATCCTAAACATTTTGCTGGCAGTTTTGTACCAGTGGTTTTTGATCAGAGGCATTTCTCAGTATACAGATGATGTTTGTTTAGTAAGTACATATAAAATGATCTTTCTTAGGCATTTACTTATTAACATATAAGCATTAGGATTAGTGGCGAATGTTCTAAAGTTCACTTTTTTAGACAACTGTAGGTTATAATGCCAAATATACTACAATTACACTCACATCCCCCCCTGGCATGGAGACTGACTTGAGGAGGTAATAAATGAATCAAGAAGATATTACTGACCAGCAGGACTGAGATTAGGGTAAGACAAGCTGGTACCCAAGGCACTCTTCAGGGCTACTCACAGACCTGTACTTAAAGGAACCTGAGAGTAAGTGCCTCCTTATTTTTGTGTGTATGGCATAATTCACATAACATAAAATTCACCATTTTACCCATTTTAAAATGTGAAATCCGGTGGTATTAGTTCATTCACACGGTTATGCAACCATCACTATCTAGTTCCAGAACACTTTCACCACTCCAAATGGAAACTTCATACCCATTAACCAGTTACTCTGGATTCCCCGCTTTATCCCAGCCCCAGAACAACCACTAGTCTGCTTTCTGTCTCTATAGATTTGGTTATTCTGGAATCATATAGTATGTGGCCTTTTGTGTCTGCCTTCTGTCACTTAGCATAATGTTCTCAAGATTCCTCTATGTTCTAGCGTGTATCAGTATTTCCTTCCCTCTGTGGCTGAATCATGTTCCATGATATAGACATTATTTATCCATTCATCAGTTGATGGACATTTGGGTTGTTTCCACCTATTGGCTATTCTGGATAGGATATTATGGACATTTAATGGGTATTATGAACACTCAGGTACAAGTTTTTGTTTGAACACCTGCCTTCAATTCTTTTGGGTATATACATAGGAGTGAAGTTGATGGGTGACATGGTAATACCACATTTAACTTTCTAGGTAACTTCTAGACTTTTTTCTACAGTGGCTGTACCACTTTACATCCCCATCAACAATGGACGAGGGTTCCAGTTTCTCCAGTGTCCTCACCAACACTTATTATTTTTCACTCTTTGAATTCTAGCCATGCTAGCGGGTATGAAATGGTATCTCGTTGTGGTTTTGACTTGCATGTCTCAATGACTTTTGAGCCTCTTTCCTATGCTTCTTGGCCATTTGTGCCTTCTTAAATTTTGCATCTTGCTTGCTTCAACTTAACCCCAGTTCTGCTGACCAGCACCTGATATCAAATGCCGAGAGTCTCATAACCACAGTGGAGTGAAACAGTAGAGAGAGCCGCCTCTAAGTCATACGGTTCTGTGTGCAGATACCACTTTTACTAAATGTGGAGTTTCTTTCCTGTCTACAGTTGAACCAGACCCTCCTGTGAACCTAACTTTGGAATTAAAACAGCCAGAAGACAAAAAACCATATCTGTGGATGAAATGGTACCCACCCACCCTGGTTGACGTTAGATCTGGTTGGCTCACACTCCAGTATGAAATTCGGTTAAAACCTGAGAAAGCAACTGAGTGGGAGGTGAGTCAACTAGAAGCTTTTGGAAAGAAACAGGTCCTTGGCAAAGATGAAGCCCTCGCAGCTGAGAATAAGTCATTCCTCCTCATTTTGGGGTAACCCTGTTGCCCTCTTGATGCTGATGTGACCCACCCCAACGTGGAAGGGCCTCCTCCCCTCCACTGGGATTGATGGGGGTCATCTTCATACTCACCCAAAGCTAGCTCCTTGCACTGAACAGGTCTTCCACCAGGTATCCAACCCACCTCCCTCAGGATATCTTAGATTGAGACACTTGTGAGTGTACTTACGTGGCACTAAGTAGGAGGAAAAAGTCTCAGTGTAACCAGTCCATGATCAATGGTATTTTTATTCACTTGCAAATACTTCAATGTAAGGAAGAAATAATGCAGTAAATTACAGGCATTATAATAGTCTACTCTTAAATATTTTAGTATATGTTTCTTTTATTTTTATTTATTTTTTTATTATTATGTTCAATTAGCCAATATATAGTACATCATTAGTTTTTGTTGTAGTGTTCAATGATTCAGTAGTTGCGTATAACACCCAGTACTCATCACAACACATGCCATCCTTAATACCCATCACACAGCTACCTTATCCCCCACCCCCCTCCTGGTTTGTTTCCTGGAGTCCAGAATCTCTCATGGTTTGTCTCCCTCTCTGATTTCTTCCCAGTCGGTTTTCCTTCCCTTACCCTGTATATGTCTCTTTTAAAAAGAGAACATTTGAGGGGTGCCTGGGTGGCTCAGGCAGTGAAGTGTGTGACTCTTAATCTCAGGGTTGTGAGTTCTAGCCCCACATTGGGCATGGAGCCTGCTTAAAATTTAAAAAGAAAAAAAGGGAACATTTGGTTTCACTCATATGTGGAATTTAAGGAACAAAACAAATGAACAAACAAAGAACAAAGAGACAAACAAAAAAACAGACTCTTAAATACAGAGAACAAACTGGTGGTTGCCAGAGGGCAGGTAGGCTGGAGGATGGACGAAATAGGTGAAGGGGATGAAGAGTACACTTATTGGGATGAGCACTGAGTTATGTATACAATTGTTGAATCATTATATTGTACACTTGAAACTAATGTAACACTTGTATGTTAATTATGCTTCAATTTTAAAAAAGATACTCTCAAACCCATTAGCGATGATAACAATGCAAATTTTTTAAAAAGGGAACATTTCCAAATATAGCCAAAATAATAGGATCACACTTAGAAAATTAATTAAAATTTCTTAATAACATTTAATAGCCAGTCCATATTTTAATTCCCCAATTGCTTCCCATCCAAGTACTAACCAGGCCCGACCCTGCTTAGCTTCCGAGATCAGATGAGATCCGGCGCATTCAGGGTGGTATGGCCGTAGACTCCCCCAGTTGCTTCAAAAAATATCTTTAACAGCTAGTTTGTCCAAACCAGAATCCACTCCAAGACCACACGTTGTGGCTGGTTGTTCTATTGTTTCCATCTCAGCATGCTCAGATGATGTCCCATCTTCTGCATTTGTCTGATGAGTTCTCTGTGAGGTCATTTGGCTAATTTCTCTGCCCCTGTATTTCCTGTAACCAGACAATTAGATCTAAAAACTTGATCAGATTCAGGTTGAACAATTTTTAGCAAGAGCACTTCAGAGGTGATATTAGATCCTTCGTGCCAGGAGATGGAAATCATCTGGTTAACCCACCAGAAATGACTCTAAGGCCAACTCTGGGATCAGAGAGGTGACAACCTGATCCCTCAATTGTAAAGTTATGTTTCTCTTGTATGCTATTGTTTCAACAAACTTGAAGGCCTGGTTCTCTTTCACCTAGGGGCTTTATACTAATTGGTAATCCTTGAATCAATAAAATTATTAGGGTTGACAAAATAACCAATAACCATTTTTCAATTGTATTCACCGGCTGTCCTCCACAGACTAGAATTTAGAAGGGGGTAGAGGATAGGGAGCAGAATATTTGACTCTATGTCGATAGTGTTCCCCATGGAGAGTTAGAAAACCCGTTAATTTTTGTGTGAGCAATGCGAGGAGGAAAAAATGAGCTAGGAGGGTGAAATGATGAGAAGAACAGAGATTTATCTACAAAATTGAATCTGCTGGCCTCGGTTCTCCAATAGTTTATTATCTAGAGGAAACGTCTATGAAGAAATATAACACAAGTCAGAGTGACTTCTATCTTCCTTGTTTGTCCCTAGACTCATTTTGCTGGGCAGCAGACTCAGTTTAAGATTCTCAGCTTATATCCAGGACAGAAATACCTTGTCCAGGTTCGCTGCAAGCCAGACCATGGATTCTGGAGTGAGTGGAGCCCAGAGAGCTCCATCCAGATACCTAATGGTGAGTGTCTTGCCTCCCCTTTGCCTATACTCCAAAGTATTTCTAAAACAAAATGAATCTAGTAAGTTTGCATGTACAAACTACTAAGAGAGAAACTATTTTAGGCCTTGGCCAGAAGAATAAATAGAGGTGGGTTTATCATCTCTCCATCCAATACAAAGACACCTGGAAGTGTAGCACTGCTCCCTAGGTCACTGTCAGTGAGGACCAGTTTCCAGGATAAGGCTACAAATGCGGACTTGGCAGGTTTCAGAGGGCTTGATGGTCAGCCTTTCTGCCCTCCCCATCTGCCCTATCCCTCTAATTCACTCAAGGTCATCATCTAGTTGTCCCAAAATTTGTAAGGTGGTATGCCATCTCAAAGGCGTGAACCAATTTTCAGTCCATGAGGTCGATTACATCTTGACCCTTGTATGAAGGTACAGTGTATAAGAGGCGCTCAGTTCTAAGTGCCGTTAAACATGGCAGCCTGTGCTCCACAAGAGAATGGTTTATCTTGCTTTTCTAAAGTATGTTATGGTTTATAAAGTCTTCACCTTGTTTGGCCCTTCCAGCCCTCTCAGGTCTTCAGAGAGAATAGGATTAGCGTTAGGAATCAAAAGCGAGGAAAATGAAGCTCAGTGAAGTTTGCGGTCTTACCCGGAACCCCACGGCAAAGCCTAGCTCCTCTGCCAGCTTGCCTGGCCAAAGTACAAAACCTGCTTCGGCTTGGCTTTGAAACAGCCCTGAAATGTGGGTCATAAGATCTGCATGTGCATCCAGTTCAGCCCTGGCTCTTATTGAATAAATCAAAGCACAAGGTCCAGAGGCAGAAGATCCAGGTTCAAATCCCAACTGCAGCTTTATAGTTGACATGTTTGTGGTGAAATCGCTCTTTGAGTCTCCGTGTCCTCATCTTTATATACCAGGCAGTGTTTGTAAAGAGGTTAGTTAACAAAACCTTAATACGTGATGGCCTTTATTATTATTACTGCAGTGGGCCATGTGACTTTGAATTTCCTCCTAAAGGGCCAAATAAAATAATATGTAAAAGGATTTTGAAATTTATAGAGTACTGTAAACTATATGCAACGTATTAAACTTTAATAATAAAAATTAAACCTGTCACTGAGGCACTCAGTGACCTGAGCACTCTTTGGATTGCTGTTCAAATCAAAAGAGGGGTAGGGAAGGGGGGGAAACTCTTTTGTTCATGACTTTTGCTTATTTGGGGTTTTTTTGGTTTTGTTTTTAATGATGCTTTCATGTGATCAAAGCTTTCCGACTGTTTGCTTTGTAGATGTCACCATGAAAGATACCATCGTGTGGATCTTTGTGGCCGTTCTTTCTGCTGTTATTTGTCTGATTATGGTCGCAGCTGTGGCTTTGAAAGGCCATAGGTACTTCACTGTCTATCAACCCTCCTCCCAATCATGGTTGTCAGGGATCGCAGCCAAAAAGGATAATGCAAAGATGTTGAAAACCTACACATAAGCCAAGCACTTCCTTTGAGCCATTAGCTACAGCGTGCTCGCCCATAGAAAATCTTTTATCGGCGCTAGCGAAAGGAGCAGGATGGACTCCTTTGGAGCTGGTGCTCTTTCCATCAAACTGAGGTTCCCGGTGGTGCATTAGTAAAACCCCCATTAAAAGCAGCTCCAATCATTCTTAATTGTAGGAAACAAACAGAGGGTTGCTGGAGTGGGGGGTGGGGTGGGAGGGATGGGGTGGCTGGATGATAGACACTGGGGAGGGTATGTGCTCTGGTAAGCGCCGTGAATTGTGCAAGACTGTTGACTCTCAGATCTGTACCTCTGAAACAAATAATGCAATATATGTTAAGAAAAAAAAAGAAGAAGAAGGTAGCGGGAGGGGAAGAATGAAGCGGGGGAAATCGGAGGGGTAGACGAACCATGAGAGACGATGGACTCTGAAAAACAAACAGGGTTCTAGAGGGGAGGGGGTGGGAGGATGGGTTAGCCTGGTGGTGGGTATTGAGGAGGGCACATTCTGCATGGAGCACTGGGTGTTGTGCACAAACAATGAATCATGGAACACTTCATCTAAAACTAATGATGTAATGTATGGGGATTAACATAAGAATAAAAAAATTTAAAAAAAAAGCAGCTCCAATCAAGAGAAGCAAGTAGTCCAAATAATCCACTCATTTCAGCATCAGCCTCCTCAATGAGCCAGAGTTAAATACTATGTAGGCCCCTAAAATTATTGTCTTCACCATTGATCGTTAGTCTCATAGAGCTCCAGAAATCTAACTCCTGTCCTCTGTAGTCCGTGTAGCAGGTAGTTAGAGAGAATACTAATCTTTCAAAAATTACAAAGTGAGAAGGTGAGTCATCTAATTCTTTTTCACAAATTATTTTAAAGCATGGTGACCTGCATCCTTCCACCAGTTCCTGGGCCAAAAATAAAAGGATTTGATGCTCATCTGCTGGAGGTAAGTGGAAGAGGTGGGGAATGTAGTGTGAGTCACCGCTTTGGAATAATGACCTTTACACGGGCGCACACAATTCCCGTCAATTCCACCTGGCCGGCTCAGCCCCCGCCCAGCTCAGCCCTGCTCCTCAGCATGCATGTTTCCAGAAAGACGGCTGGAGGCGTGAGGGTCCTTACCTTCAGACACTAGACGTCAGAGGGCAAGGAGAGAAAGTCAAGAAAACATGCAAACACATAGTAATACTTGGCTAGCTTTACCAGGTCTGTTCATAAGCATAGAAATAAACATTTTGTGCAAATAACCAATTTAGAAAGAGGGTGAATATTTTAATTAATACAAAACAGGGACCCACCACCACCTCCTTTGTCATACTTCGGTTAAAGTTTTCACTTGAATGTTCTTTGCATAATTGCAATATCCTCTTGTAATTGTTGCTCACTTTGAGCACTCAGTAGAGACTGGATCAGTACAAGGGGGCTAGTGTTTGCCAGGGCCCACTTAGGCTGATTCAAGAGGGATTTAAATTCAAGTGTTTTGCATAAAAAGAGGGGTTAGAACATTTTACATTTCTGTCCAGATTGAAATATATAGTTTCAGTTTGACTTCAGCTTAACACTGATGTATCTAAAAGCAATGACCTGCACATTACATCACTTGACCCAGCCACTGTGAGGCTAACAACACAACAAGAATGTGAAAAGTGAGTCCCAGAGAATTTGGCTTGACTGCATTCAGTTTGCAAATATGGGATCAGGGCTTAGAGCCCCAGAACTTGGGCTCCTGGTCCAGTGCTCTTACCTCGCTACCCAATCCTAGTACTGACCGGCACAGAACCAACATGAACATCTCAACTAAGTAAATTAACCACTGTCTAGCTCGAAATTTGACCTTGTAGCCACAGGGACTTAATAATAAAATAACTACTGTTGGTGTCACACACACAAAAAAGTTTTCATATTCTTAATCACAATTACCTCTCATCTTCAGAAGAACCCTCCCAGATGGCTACTATTATTCCCATTTTACAGATGGAGAAAGTGAGGACCATAGAGCAACTTGTCCAAAGTCAGTACCCTTTAATAAGTGATAGGGTCAAGATTTGGGTACCAGTACCTGACCTAAGTCAAGCAATCAGGAAGAAGAGTGAAAAACAAGAGAAGGCAGGAGGAAGGAGGAGGGGAGAAGAAGGAGAACAGAGAGGAGGAGAGGGAGGAAACTGGGACAGCAGGGAGAGAGGGGGAGGGGAGAGGGACAGGAAGTGGAGCAGAAGGAAAGGAAAGAATAGGGTAGGACGAGAAGGGAGGGGAAAGGAAGAAGTAGGAAGAGGAGGAGTTGAGAGAGAAGGGAGAGACGAGAATCTGCTGACCACTGCCAGACTCCAGAAGATGGTGGAGTTGGTTAGGAGGCCAGCAACCAGATCTCAGGGCCAGCGGGTCCCAAGGCACCAAATGCAGGCATGAGCACTGTGGTTTTTGATGTTTCACAAACGTCATATTTGATAGGTGCATGTTTATTATATGTGCATATACTCCTTGCCCATTAAACTCATAATCATTATTGCTTAGAAAGAGACTAAGTTAAAATCATGAATTAACTGAAAGAAAAATATGAGATGAGGAGTAGTCCAGGAGGTGACTCTAGATAGCTTGGTACATAAATGTCTGACGTTTGGGAAGTTTCGCGAGGCCATTAGCACATCCCACTTGCCCCTAGTCGGGACCATGGGCTTGGCCGACGTCGAATGTTAGGAAGCTAACGGCCGTCTCTCCTTTTCCTAGAAGGGCAAGTCTGAGGAACTGCTGAGTGCCCTGGGGTGCCAAGACTTCCCTCCCACTTCTGACTGTGAGGACTTGCTGGTGGAGTTTTTAGAAGTGGATGACAGCGAGGACCAGCAGCTGATGCCAGCCCATTCAAAACACCCGGATCAAGATATGAAGCCCACACCCCTGGATCCAGACAGCGACTCTGGCCGGGGCAGCTGCGACAGCCCTTCCCTTTTGTCTAAAAAGTGTGAGGAAGCCCGGGCAAATCCCTCCACGTGTAACATTCCTGAGGGCATTGAGAAGCCAGAGAATCCCCAAACAAAGGTTACCTGCACTTGGGATGCCCAGAGCACACGCTTGGAAGGCAAGATCCCCTATTTCCCTGCCGACGGATCCAAATCCTCAACCTGGCCTTTACCACAGCCCCCCAGCCAGCACAGCCCCAGATCTTCTTACCACAACATTGCTGATGTGTGTAAGCTGGCTGTGGGCAAGGCGGGGGCATCGGCCGCTTTGTTGGGCAAAACAGACACACACGCTTTAAGATCTTCAAAAACCACTGAGACTGGAGGGGAGGAAAAGGCAGCTGAGCGGAGAGAAGTAGAAAGCTTCCATTCCAAGACTGACCAAGGCACAGCATGGCTGTTACCCCTGGAGAAAACCCCTTTGATCTCTGTGAAACCCTTGGATTACGTGGAGATTCACAAGGTTAACAAAGATGGAGCACTGTCATTGCTCCCAAAACACAAAGAGAACAGCAACCAGCCAGAGAAGCCCAGTCCTCCTGAAGCCAGTAAGGAGTACGCTAAGGTGTCCAGGGTGATGGATAACAACATCCTGGTGTTAGTGCAGGATCCGCGAGCTCAGAACCTGGCTGCGTTGGAAGAACCAGCCAAGGAGGCTCCGCCATCTCTTCAAGAGAATCCAGCCGAAGAAGACCTGGCCTCCTTCACCTCGGCCCCAAGCAGCTGCGGACTCCAGCTGGGTGGGTTGGATTACCTGGATCCCACGTGTTTTATGCACTCCTTTCAGTGATAGCTTGATTAACGGAATGATTGGTTAAAATGTGATTTCTTTTCAGGTAACACTACAGAGTACAGGAAATGTACCCTACTAGAGAATGCTCGAGAATGTGGTTAGGATGACACTATACAGCCCATAGTTCACTCCTCGTGCTCCATTTTCAACCAGCTGCCTCTTTCTCCAACAGTTGATTCCAGAACAAATTGTTTTGTTTCCTGTGATTTGTAGATTGACTTTTTTTTGCTCTTAGTTATAAAATTATGTGTTCAATGAAATAAAAGTACATCGTTTAGTATTTTTGAGGGACAGTGCCAATAGGTATATTCTCTGGAAGGGGCTTTCATGGTTTGGTATGTGACCGAAGGAAATGAAATACTCACAGTTGTTTACCACAGGAAGATGATAGATGTGAGAAAAATGCCATGAAAACCGCTTTCAAAAAACCAACAAACCTTTGCACTCCTCTTTCATTTTTATTCGGATTAACCAAATACGACCCATTTGAAGAAAGAATGCATTCCAGAACACCGGACACATTGTTTACATCAGTTCCTATCACCTTAGTGATACATTGCCAATATGCAAGCCAAAATGATGCCTCCAGTTTTTTCTTAAAATGGTTTGAATTTGTTAAGCATGGATATTTTTTTTCTCCCCCTAAATTGTATTTTATTCTGAAGCCTCTAGAGAAAATAGTTTTGGAAAGTGAAATTTTCTAACATGACAGGTAAATGAGTTTCATGTGGTAAATTCTTCTAAAATGTTTTCCTGTTTCGTTTCAGCATAAGAGAGAATTTATTATACACCCTAGTCTTCGGTCAGGTTAAAAAAAAAAAAATCCCCAAAGACTAATTTTAAAAGATAATCACAGCAGGATGCTAATGGAAATACTGCCTTACTGTACATACAAATTCTACTTTAATATAAACCCGTAAGTTTCACAATGTATTTTTGAAGACTATTTTTCTATCACTTAGGTAAAATAAAAAACTATTTTCTATCTTCCCAGTACAGCTGTTTACGTATTTAGCGGGTATGGTATGTTCTGCTATGAGGTTATAATGAGTATTTGCAGTACATAGTATACACAGTCCCTGTTTGTGGAGTGAAATGCCATAGCAACCCAAAGCCCATTGAGGAATATGAAGTGGATGATTATATTCAATTTCCAGCACAGCGTTGTATAGTTTATCTGATTCTATCTCTGTGATACTTTGAACAGTCGCCAGCCAAGAGGCTTAGGGCTTTCCACAGACCAGAAATTACTTCTGTAATTTAGGGCTACTCTGGGGCTTCTGCTCTTCTCTGGGTGAATATTCATAAAACCACCCTGAAAAGGTGAGTGATGACCTCTCACATACTGTTTTAGAGAGAGGGTTTTGTTTGGTTTGGGTGTTCTGAGAAATCCTGGGCTGCCAAGAAAATGTAAGCAAAGCCAGGAGTTAGTATCTCTCTGAAGCAGATCCATTTGCGAAATCCTGGCAGAGGCCGATACAGCAGTCCCAGCAGAAGCATTCAAATAGAAGTTCTAAGGAAGCAGGCATCTGGGCAGTGGCAACAGCTACGGCGGCCAGGGTCTGGTAGCAAGAGTCTCCAAGTCTGCTCCAAGGGCAGCCTTCCCACAAGCCTGGCTCTCCATTTTAAAGAGAGCGCTCGTGACTCCCACTGCCTCCCTCTGTTTTTCATTTCATCTGATGGCAAAGCCATTCTCTGGGTTCACTCACTAACTGGACGGAGTGAATTTGCACTCACCCCTGGGAGTTAAATATGCCAGCCCAGCAAGCCCATGCTGACAGGAACTGGGCTCCGCGGTGGCCCTGATGTTTGCAAGTGAACTCATCCCTAGGGCTTCCAGGGTTGCCAAAGTAAATCAATCTGAGCTCTCTTCTCCCAATATAGACCAGCATTAAGGGTGAAGAGAACATTCGGGAAAGTTGTCCAAGTTCATCCAGTGCCCTAGGTCCTTGCTACTCAAAGTAGGCCCTGAGGACCAGCTGTCTCAGCATCGCCTGGCACCGCTTGGAAATGCAGACTCTCAGCTCCCCTGCCCAGACCTACAGAATCCGAATCTGCATCGTACTAAGATCCTCAGATGACTCATGTACACAGGGAAGTTTGAGAAGCACTGTCCTGGGTGACCATTTCCACTAAAGGTACGTTAGTGCCTAGAGACAATCCTCTCTCGGAAATACAAGTCAGGTCTCACTTGCCCTCAATGACACTCTACATAAGGAGAAGGCATACTTTTTTAAAAACCCATTTAGGGTTTAAATTTACAGAATGATAGACAATGACTTGGCAAAAGTACACACAGCTCCAAGAGGGCCAGGGGATATACTCCACTTGGGATTGACTCTGCCCTTCCAAGCCAGTCCAGAACAAACTTTTCCCAAAACAGTCCATTCTCCTCCAAAATGTATCTCAATTACTCTGATAATTCAAAAATAACCTGTTTTGACATATGACTTGGCATGTGTGAAAAAAAAAAAAAATGTCCTGGTTAAAGACTCACCTTGAAGTAAATCCCCAAAATACCCCAATTAGCCACTCATTAAGTAAGCCAAGGTTACAATTCTATGGTCAATTAACACTCTTTATTTGAATTAAGTAGGTTTTTTTTTTTTTCCATCCTCTGGCACATTTCCTACCAAGGAGCCAGCTGGTGCAGCAGAAGGATGCAGACTGAGGGTCAAGAGACCTGGGTTCTAGTCCCCGCTCTCTTGCCTTAGAGTAATTGCCTTTCCTGGGCCTCAGTTTCCTCTGAAGGAAATGGCAGGCCAATCATCTCGAATATCCTTTCAAACTCTGGCTCCTTGATTTCATGACTCACTAAATATTTTCCAGCAAAGATAATTTACCCAGTGCTTTGATCGTAAGGAAGCTAACAAATAATTGCCCTTCATCAGAGACACACAAGTACTCTCCAGTGATGTGCTTTTTTGATTTCACTTTTAAATCATCAGTTCTAGTTGGTCTTCACATATGACACATGCATGCTGTAAATTACGTAGGTACGGGATCAGAGTCCGAGATAACATGCAAGTATGTATGTAGAGAGGAGGCATGAGATTTTTTTTTTTAAGACCTACTGAATGAGGCTCTGATTTTTAGAAAAAAATGATCTTTTACTGAATCAAGCCATGTTTATTTTTTGCTGAGTCCAACAGCCCCAAATCGCTTTTCTTCTATCTGACTGTGGCTTCTGGTTTTTATTTCTTTCTGATGAATTATAAATCACTATTGCACAGTTGGTTTAAAGAGCCATATGCTCTGAATTATAAAAAGTCATGTTTTTATAAACAAACACCTAAATATTCAAGTTACAAAGCACATGGAGACGGGCTAGCCAATGGGTGATTTATGGAAGATTCTTACCCCAGCTGCAAAATGTTCTCTGGTCAGTTGTAACGAACGGGTTTAAGGCACCTCAACATGAGCACAAGTTATTATCAACTGCGTCCCTGACATTTAACAGAATGTCCATTCTCCCAAGTGCCTAAGACCAATCCCGTTAGGCAGGTATGTACCAAAACCTTGCTTTCGCTGGTTTGGTCCAACATGAGTTAATCCCTTACCACCTGTACGAGATCAAGGAGTTTGACCCCTTGTCCTGTAGTGCCCAGCTGAGTCGGAGAATCCTATGAGTTCATGAGCTCCAGGATGCAGTTTGGCTGTGGAGGAAATCTGGCTCTTTTCTCGAGATTCTCCACGGCTGCAGTCACTTGCAGAAAGACTTGGCCCTGCCTTTAGTATCTTCTCTATCTCCTTAGTGTAGACAAGGAAGAAACAGATTTGTACATAGTTTACAAAGTGCCTTTCTTTACTTTTATAAAAAAAAAAAAAAGTTTTGTTTTTGCAAGAAAAGCGTATCAATTGGAAAGTACATTTTACTTGTTTTATGTAAATGAATGGAGAAACCAGAAAGGGAATGACAAAATGGTCCGAGGTCCAACCAGCAACTGTTCAGTGGATTTTTCTATTTATTGCTTAACTGAATTACCATAGAGCTGATGTGAATAGTGTAACTTATTTTGTCTGATGAGAAATTGACTCTGGCTGGGATTTGAGGATATGCTGGCCCCACTGTGATTTGAGACTCCTCCATTTAAAAACATATTAATATGCTTTTGAATGGCCTCAAATTGCATGCCTGGGCCTGAAAAGGACAATGCAAGCACGGTGGAAGCTTGCACACATACAGAAAAATGCAAATGACTCTGGATTACCATCCTCAGTGTTGCTAACATAGATTTGCCATTGATGAAAGCCTCCTGTGTACTTCAGTGAACAAATTTCTTGTTCTGCATCTTTGGCTCAAGCACAGTAGTAAAATCCAAGGTTTCAAAGGCCCAGGTGCAATGCAGGAAAGTATTGCTGACATGCCCTTAACCTGATAATTGTGCGGTGTCACAAAGCTTAAGAGAACTATAGACATCTGTTGGTCCAAGCCAGGTTGATTGGCTTTAACATCCTGGCTTCTTTTTTTCTTCTTAGCTATCCATACTTGTAGGCTTTTTGTCTTCTGCTCTAGGGCCTGTATTTTTCCTGAGAGTTAATTATGTACACTAGCAACCATAGGATCCACAAGAAACTAAGTTACTCGTGAACAATGACTTTGGCCCCGCAAAGGACTAAGTCAGCTGTTAAATCAGCCACACAGATATCACATTGCACGTTGAGGGTCATTAGTCACCTCGTTTAAAGATTTGCATAGTTAGAAATTGCAGCTCAATTCATTAACTGCTTAATTAATTCAAAGGCCATTAATAAACCCAAGGTACATCCATGACTCAGTTCCGGAGGTCTTAAGTAGAAATTTTAAAATACAAAATGATTGCTCGAGAACCCATGTTGTAACCAGAAGTTCTATTTATAATTATGGCCTAGACTTATTCCATGATTACCAGATATAATCTACAAATCAAATAGTTCTTTCCCTAGGCTTGTGTATTTCAGTAAGGTGATTTAGGGTCTGAGATCATCATGGTCTATTTCAATGAAAGGAAAAAAATAGGAAATAGGACATTTCCAGAGGTTTGGGCATCTCAGGATTCCACAAAATGTCAACGGTAGCCTGCTAAACCCAAATTTTATTGGACAAAGTGAAATCTGTAATCTATTCAGTGTTCTGAGTTTATGGCTAAGAGATGTACATAACTGACAAACACCATACGCCCTTCATTGTCTTATCCACGTCCGTTCCTTTGATTTATGCTCTGATCTCAAGTCAAGAAGCACTGAGGCGTGTAAAGTGAAAAAACACATCCTGTTTGTGTGACTGTGGTCAATGAATACAGAGACCCTTAGACAATGGTATTCTATTAATTAACTTTTTACCTGCTCCTGATTAAATAAAAAACAATGAACCCTAAAAACCTTTGGCTAGTGAAGTAGTAACATCAAAACTAATCTTGAATAATTACGTTTAAATTATGCTTCACCTGGATAAACTTCAAAATGCAGTCTGAGTTTTTCCATGCAAATTTCACAAATTCTGAAGAAAAAAAATCTTGTTATTACGTTACTCTGACATCAAAAATCTGTATGGCAAAGATACCTCTGAAAAATAATCTGTTTTATAAAATTTCTGATAAAATGTTTTGAATTTTTAAAAGTAACCACCTCCCCTCCTTGTCCTACTGCCCTTCCTCCAAAGCCGCTTATTGTTTAGAAAGGAAAGATTATCGGGGCACCTGGGTGGCTCAGTCGTTAAGCGTCTGCCTTCGGCTCGGGTCATGATCCCAGGGTCCTGGGATGGAGCCCCGCATCGGGCTCCCTGCTCGGTGGGGAGCCTGCTTCTCCCTATCCCACTCCACCTGCTTGGGTTCCCCTCTCTTGCTGTGTCTCTGTCAAATAAATAAAATCTTAAAAAAAAAAAAAGAAAGAAAAGAAAGGAAAGATTATCGCGTCTCATGCGTTGACTGTTTTGCCGGGGCATATTTGATGTACTGGCCATGTGAC